AAACAAGCAAAACTGCCGCATCTGGGCGAACGAAAATCCCCGTGAGTATCAAGAGCAGCCAATGCATCCTCAAAAAGTGAGTGTGTGGTGTGCATTGTGGTCAAAAGGCATCATCGGACGTTACTTTTTCGAAGATGCGGCCGGGGACGCCGTTACCGTCAATTCTGAGCGATATCACGTGATGATAGAGGACTATTTTTTGCCGCAACTTGAAGGAATTTATATGAACGATGTTTATTTCCAACAAGACGGTGCAACATGCCACACAACCAACGTCAATATCCATCGATTGCAGTCCTTCTTCGGTGATCGCGTGATTTCGCGCAGAGGAAGTGTGCCATGGCCACCAAGATCCTGCGATTTGACTCCCTTGGACTTCTTCTTATGGGGATATTTGAAAAGCATAGTCTACGTCAACAAACCAGCCACCCTCCAAGAACTCAAAAACAACATCATTGCCGAGATAAATGCCATAGAACCGACCATGTTGCAGCATGTCATTGAAAATTTCGACCATCGCGTGGACGTCTGTAAGTCCAGTCATGGTGAACATTTGAGCGATATTATTTTTCATACATAAATGGTATAAATGAACCTTCAAAATAAAGTACCCAACTTGATTTGAATATCAATCTTTCTTGTTTTAATATGCGTTTACTTTCCTGTATCCGTTTTGGACAACCCCATATATTTGTGTGGATAGTCAACTGCTGTTTCACGTGCCTTATGACATTATTTCAAAAATATCAGAAAGGATAAATTACTTTTATAGAGTTTTCCACAATCTTAGTATGTATTCCAAAAAAAATTGTGTATAACACTGTTTGGAACTTTATTACATTTGGAATATTGTATCTAGTAACCCGACTTTAAGTTGCATGTGGCAACCATGTATTGTAAGAAGAAGGTAATATAGAAGTGTGGATAGTAGTTGCAGGTGTGTTAGTCTCCTAGTTTTTTCCTGATTTTATAAGTAAAAAGTAAAGTAAGTGGTGACTACAGCCCATGAAAGCATCAGGGACGCCATCCGGCATCAATTGCAGATCCGAGGTAAACCCTTTACAACAAACACTATAATTCATCCCCATATTTTATATTTTTCAACCAGCTTGTTTACAGCAAATGAAAACATATTTTCTTGCTTACAGCATATTTTCAAAATAACAAATTCGACAAAATATGAGAATCATTTTAAATAAGACAAATATGCTAGGAGTAAGCCTATTTTAGATAGTTATTATCATAACTACGAAACTAGAGGCAGTATAGGCTTCATCTGCAAAATTGTAATAGTAGCATAGCTAGATGATCCGTATTTCAAAAGGGAGTATTTGAATTTAATAAAAGTGTTCGTATTTAAAAATGCTTCAGATGAAATTAAAAAATCACTTTATGGATACTCAAAATACATAGTGATTTAGTTATACAAAATTGACATTGTAACATTAATGTTACTTCAACAAACAAACAAAACATTTCAACCTTTTTGAACACAAATACTACATTAAGCCCAAAAAGTACTTCAAAACTGGTTTATTTGTCAGTGACACATTTTTTACGAGATTTTTGCACTCTCCGATTCAACTCTAATTGCCTTTAACAACAATTTACATCAAGACAACAAAATAAGTTACTAGCAAGTCTGAACCATAAGAGTAACGTTTAATATTGAATCGGGACATATTACGAGACCAGAAGACTGGTGCGTGAGGTGAGGTAATATGATGCACGTTATTTGTGACTGAGACATGCGGTAGAATAAATCATAATTTCAAAAACAGGCTCGAATAGAAAATCAATGTAAAAAATCTTTTTTAGTTGTAGTGAAAAAGCGTGGAGTGCTTGATATTAAATGTATTCTGTTCGATTTGCTATTAAAAGCTGTTTTTTGGCTTTCTTATAGCATAATTTATTTTCTAAAATCTTAGTAGCAAAACGGCAACAAAGGTACTTATACTATTTTCAAAATTTTCATTTTTTTCCAGATATAATGTATTTTCAAGGTACCCACGTTTTTCCCCAATTTTTAAATTCAAATTGCTGTAAAATTTTCAATATTTACAATTTTTTTCTAATTTCGGTATTTCCGTTTTTCTCCAAAACTTCATATTTATTCCCGAATTTTCCAACTGTTTCCCAAACTTTCAAATCCGTTTTTTTTTTCAAATCCTAAAACTCAATTTTAAAAAAATTTTAAATGCGAATTGTATTCCAAGATTAAATAGTTTTCATTTTGATTCTAGGTACTATCTAGGTGAGGATCCCTTCGCCGGCAGTATTTATGGCAGGGAGAATAAGTACGATGGTGTGGTACGACCCGCAAGAAATTCAAAACGTCAAACAAACGGGAGTCATCCTGGAGACGAAAGGAGGTAAGCGGAGGGAACTGGAGAGGTTGTGCAGGCTTTGGAGGATAAAAGGAAGGGATATGGAACGCTGGGCTGAGTGTAGGTTGCCACTTTTGGGTACCACGCGTATCACATTTAGCGATTAACATATTAACAACAGGAATATACTCACACAGTTTTCACAATGCAGCTATTTTTTTTTCAAATGTTATACTTGAACTTGACTGAATACAATATACTGTTGGTATTTAAAAGTGGCAACGAAGACAATAGTTTTTGAATTTACACGAATTGTACAGTACTGTATCTACAAGTTTATTATTTCGTAATGATAAATATGGCAATATCAAATATCGCATTTATCAATCCTGTGCTACTAAGACATGAAATTGTTATACCATGTACAAAGATCTTAACATATTGGTAGCTAAGCTGGTTAATGTAAGTTCATACAATATAATTGCGCAATGGAAATTTGGTAGTTTTTGCATTTTGACGGATGTTGCTGATACATCCGAATTTTGAATTAGGAATATAACTTATATAATATATATATATATATATAACTATAAAATTATACCGTTCCGGAACTAGACATTCGGCGCTTTACGAGCGAGTACGAACTATCGCCGTATGAGGACCCGTACGCCAGAAAGACGTCACCTTTCCGTCATTTCTCAAATTATCACTCGAGATTAGTCGCCTTAGATAGCTTAAATGATAGGTGATCCGTATTTCCGGGTCCGATTTTGATCCGCATCTAGAAATATTCAAAGAAAAAAAACAGAAAAATCCCATTTTTTTTGTTAAAAGCCGATAACTTCTCTACGGCACAGAGAAAAGAAGTTGCTCATAGCGCATTTGTACATCTCGATGAATACTATAAATGACTGAGAGAGAGTTTTTTCCGTTTCGAACAAAAAGTTTTCAAACGATGGAAAATTGGCTTTTTGTTCCTTAAACGTGCTTTTCGATATTCAACATCTATCTCCTCCGAAGATAACGGAGATACGGACCCAGCGATTTTTGCGGAAGAAAGCCCAGACATCGGAGATTTGGAACGAGATTTTTTATTTCTTTATTCCTTTCCGTTCAAAAGTTTCGGTTTTTTTTAAGTTTTTTGACAATATGCCACTTTTCGATTTTTTCATACTTTCGATTGAATTTTTGAAAAGTGATATAGCGCGTTTTTATGCTTTTGAAACGATCTTTCGCACCTGCTTAAGCGTATTCATAGGTTTTTTTTTAATTGTTGAGATAAAATATATTAGGCGGGGTACTGTAGGTATACAAATATTACAAACGCAAATGCGTGCTAGCAGATCGTCTAAAACGTGCCATTTTCGGCTTCATGGCGATCGTTTCATCCAATACTGGATCATACCGAAAATGATTGGACTTTGGACACGAAATTCGAAAATATTAAGCGGCGACTTTTTGTCTTTTTCCACCTCCCTCTCAAGTCTGGATCAGGCTGTTTCGACGTCGGGGACGTTCTTCGTTTTTTCCTGTTGCTGATGAGTTTTATTAGAAAATTATACCGTTTCGGAAACTAGACATTCGGCGCTTTACGAGCGAGTACGAACTATCGCGGTATGAGGACCACGTACGCCCGAAAGGTTTCCGCCACCTTTCCGTCATTTCTCAAATTATCGACTCCAGATCAGTCGCCTTAGATAGCTTAAATGATAGGTGCTCCGTATTTTCCGGGTCCGATTTTGATCCGCATCTTATTTTTTTCTAGAAATATTCAAAGAAAAAAAAAAACAGAATAATCCCAATTTTTTGTTAAAAGCCGATAACTTCTCTACGGCACAGAGAAAACAAATTTCGCATAGCGCATTTTGTACATCTCGATGAATACTATAAATTACCGAGAGAGAGTTTTTTCCGTTTCGAATAAAAAATATTCAAACGTTGGAAAATTGGCTTTTTTGGGCCTCAAACGTGCTTTTCGATATTCAACATCTATCTCCTCCGAAGATAACGGAGCTACGGACCTAGCGATTTTTTGCGGGAAAAAGCCCAGACATCGGAGATTTGGAACGAGATTTTTTTATTTCTTTATTCCTTTCCGTTCAAAAGTTTCGGTTTTTTCAAGTTTTTTGACAAAATGCCACTTTTCGATTTTTTCATACTTTCGATTGAAGTTTTGAAAAGTGATATAGCGCGTTTTTAGGCTTTTGGAACGGTCTTTCGCACCTGCTTAAGCGTATTCATAGGTTTTTTTGATTGTTGAGATAAAATATATTAGGCGGGGTATTGTAGGTATACAAATATTACAAACGCAAATGCGTGCTAGCAGATCGTCTAAAACGTGCCATTTTCGGCTTCATGGCGATCGTTTCATCCAATATTGGATCATACCGAAGATGATTGTCCTTTTTTGGACGCGAAAATTAACATTTTTTAATATATTCCGAACTTTAAGAATGTCTAAAACTACCGAGCTATAACCAAGCACAACTTGGCAACGTTGCGGTTAGATCAATCTCAACGTATGGCATACGCCTTGACGTACTCAGAAGTTGTGTTACAGAAATATTAATAATAATACTTCCTTCTTTACTGCGCAGTTCGTGTAATTTCATGCATTTGGAAAGTAATCTATAGTATGTAAGACGTAGCTGTATTATCCCAAAAGAGTATCAGATGTGCATGTGCTATGTAGTCTTATTACTTTTATTAACAAAGTACGTAGTTGAATATCGTCTACTTTATAAATTGTCGAGATTTAGTTAAATAGATTAGTATCTTTTATAACTTGAATAACTCCTATACTTATCCTTTTTGGGATGTAGAGTAAATGTGTAAATAATATGTTTGTTCAATTTGCATGTACTGGATGCTTCCAATTTTAGATGTTTGTTTATTGATGCCAAAATACTCATATTATCATGATTATTGTTTGTGTCGTTCATGATGCCGAGTTTTACTTCGTGGAATTATTAAACACATTCAGCAATCTGCAAAGTGCAATCATGAAGCGTTATTCGACAAAATTATTAACTCATGAAACATATATCCGAAAAATTGGACACGTTATTTTAGTTGATATAGCGTAACAATAATAATACAGAATCATTTATAGTCACTGGTCCTAATTTTTAAAGATGCTTGCTACTTCGCAATTAAGAGAAAAACTGGACCGACTAAACATTTTTTAATCAGTGGACACACTTCAAGCAATAGAAAAATTTCCCACCGGCAAAGCTTATTTCAAAAGTATAGTCTCCTATTCTTTTAAATACAAAAATCTGACCGATACATAATTATGAAGCTTAAAAAGACCTATGTCTATTTTTTACATAATCGCCAATCCGATCGATTTATTTTTGTAGACTCTGTGGCAATTTTTCTATCTCCTTATCATACCAGCCTGCCACCAGTTCCTTAGGGAAGACTTGTACCTCGTCTCTTACCTCGACGTCAAAACTAAATCATCCTGTCAAATATTAACTTAGACAACAAGTGCAAGGCACTGGGTGCCAAACTCGGACCATATGCTAGGAAGGTGATGATATCTCATTAAAATTGTTGGAGAAGAGCAATCGATTGGTAAATAGTCTGGAAATGTACACATTTCGAAAGAATTGATCTGAATTGTCAATGGAAACAAGGATAGTGGAGTGATTTTTTATGAATTAAAGCTGCCCCTTTAACAGTGGACAGTATTTATGGCGTGAATGTCCAAGTATATACATTACCCAAGAAATGCTCATGTCCTATCATGGTAGGTATGCAATTTAATGTGACTCCCTTCATTCAAATTTAATGAAACTAGCAAAGCATTAACTTCTTCGGGGCTATAACACGTGCTTTAATTTTTATTTTCCGATTGAAACTGCAGTGCTGTCTTCATTTTAATCAAGGGGCATGTCAAAATCGGGGTATGTGTCTCTTTTACATGAGTTCCTCAAAGTATGTTCAGGACGAAATGCAGTCGTCACTTCTTCGTCAGAGGTACTTCGTCCAAAAGCTTGGATAGTAGATGTCACTTTTTTATACCGAAGCAGCCGCACAGGTAGAAGCCTAAATGCCAGGAAACCGGGTTGTTATGAGAATCCCAAAGAAAGTTTCTCAATCCGATTTATAAACTCCTCTTGTAGATGTTCGACGATCTCGACGCCCTCGGGACAAAGGAGCGGTCGTATTGGCCAGTTCTGGGCGTACGAAGTTCGACACGGTTAATATGGGAGGCCAAAGTCAGGCTGGTCTGTCTCTCAGGCACATCGCGCGTCGGCATCATGGAGGACAGCCCTGAGGTGCAACGTCCGTTCGCCGGCGGCCGGCCAGTGCGAAAGAGTCCCGAGACTGTCTGTTAGAAGAGTCATCGGACAACATCGATAATAAATGATGTCAATTACGATGGACATATTGCGGACAGGCAGAAAGTCAGCCGCCTATTTGCAAAGCTTTTCTGGTAGGCCATCGGATGCATGTTTGCTGATCGAACGCTTTCGTGATATCAAGAGCAACGACATGAGCCTCACCGTAAGACTAGATCAAGCCTTGACGTTCGAGGTAGTCCAGAAGCTCGCGATTTATGCACCTCTCCATCACTTACTTATAACAGAAAGCAGAGCTATAGGCCTGCAGTTGTAAGGGTCGGTCTTAGATCCCTTTTTGGGATGGGTCGGACATAAGCGAATTTCCAGTTTTCTGGGAAGGTGCCGGAATCGTAACATATGTGAAAGAGACGCGAAAGAACTGAGGCAAGCTGCGCTGCTCACCTTTTCAATACAACGGCAGGAATCAATCATTGGATATGGTATTATCGTTACGTGATGTATTCAGGAGGAACGGGTGTCGAGGTGAATCTCACCCAATCTCACGCGGAAAAAAGGGAGTCTCGACAAATGTCACGTAACTTTTCCCCGCGAAAACATTGTGCAACTGCTTAAAAAATTTCAACAGATTTAGACTGAAATCAAATTTTTTAAAAACCTCACGTGAGATAAAGGGTTGGGGAATGGGGTCGAATGTCACCAGGGGGGAAGATGATTCAGAGAATCATAAAAATGCCTACATAATCAATGGAACGGCATATTTTACCAAACTATAGATATCGGTCAAAAAAATTACTTAGGACTGCACATTTGTTCAAACTTGCTCAACAATCTTCAAAAAGAACAATATTTATCAGAATCTTCTATACCAAATACTTCTAATCACGTAAGATGAAAATTCCATATAAGCGTTTTTTTCTCAACCTGCACAACCCACGCTGCACTTTTTGTTGCACAGAATGCATTTTCGTAAAAAATGTATGATGAGGTATGATTCAAGCGGATTCTGAGAACCTTGAAACCTTTTCGACGAAATAAAAGTAAATAAAACCTGCAATCTAAGATATTATTTCGCGTTTAGTGCTACATCATAACTAAAAAATGTTTCTTTTTTTTGTTGTGGCAACAGTTTAAGGTAGTATGCCACAAATGCTCAATTAAACTAACTGGAATTCAGATATAAAATCCAGGAACTCGTAAAATACTTTTTCATAAGAATCTGAATCGTGAACATAAAGTAGTTAACATTTAATATTATAATATTCCTATCCGGCAACATGAAAAGACATAAACAATACTAACTACGTAGAGTAGTATAGTAACGGCTGACCTTGGTCCGAGATCTTGGCATTTCTGTATAGTAAAGGCCGTTATACAGGTTGATTGATGTCACTTCTTCAGAAGGAATTCAGCTTATATGGAAATGCAGTAGTTTGTTGAACTCTGATCGGAATTCCTTGTACTAATGGTTTACACAGGGTTATAGTACAGTGAGATATACAAAACACATATAATTAACGAATAAATAACTTAGCTGTGATGTATGGTTAAAATCAACCAAAGGATCAGGCCGTACAAGCGAGAGTCTTGGCTTCGAAATAACTCAAATTTCATATTGATCGCATTCGCGAAATTTTCGCCACGTTTTGGCATTTTTCAACATTTAACTATGGCAATGTTAAGGGTACTTCTTATTTTGAAATGCCATCATCAAATAGTCAGATTCGGTTTCTTTTGTCCATCTCCTCATTTGCTTAGTTACTGGAATGAGCACTTTAAAAGTTTAAAAAGGAAAATCACTGCAGAAAGAATGAAATATGCTAGGATTAAGTCTATGCTAGAAGAAACTACAGTGGTTGAATGTGAAAAACTAAAGTTATTTAGTTCTCATCTTCGTATTGAAATTAAAAGATCAGTAAATAGTCATTATCATAAGTACGAAACTAGAGGCAGTATAGATTTTCGTAAGCGAAATTATAATAGTATTATAATCTGTATTTCAAAAAGGGAGTATTTGAATTTAGTAAGCTGAATAAAGATATTAAACGGAGCTCGAATTTAAAAATGTTTAAGGTGAAATTGAAAAATCACTTTATGAATACTCAAAATGCATAGTGTTTGTAATTTTAATAGACAAGAATGTAAAATGTACAGAAATGGATGCAAAAAAATGTGTAAACGAACAGTTATACAAAATTGATATTGTAGCATTAATGCTAAATAAATCTTCAACAAACAACAAGCAAACTTAGAATGTAATACTTTTTAAAAAATCAATCAAATTTGCTTCCGTAAAAAAATACTTCAAAAAGTATTTTTTACGTATTTTATTAAAATACCATTACAAGCAGTTATTGATGTAGTATCACCCTGTATAAGCCATACAAGTCCTTCTCTCCTTTTTTGTAATTACTAACCTGAGATGCATGTGTTACCTTCCTGCTATTTAGTAGTTATAAATCTTTCAAATGTAGCCTTGTTGTGTATTTATTATTAGTGATATTACTAATATATATTTATTTATGAAGGTTTACGATTATAATTCATTATAAAATTATAACAGGCTTTATATGGTTTCATTACCTTTCAAATTCCAATGGGAAAGCAACTACAAAAAAAATATCTTAATCAGGTTGATTAGCACTGAAGTAGGCGAGGAGGCCAAATTTGGCTGTATGACAAATTCAGTTTGTTTTTATAGATGACAATTTTGCATTTTTAGTCCAGGCATCGTAGCATTGAACACACTATAACGTTTAGCTTCAATTTAAACACAAAAATACCTTTGTATTTGAAAAAATTGCAATGCATTTCTATTCTAATTTCTAATAGGCGCTTCTTGTTGGGATCGGTAGTGGGGGAGTCGACAAACACGACGGCGTTGCCAGATTTCGTCTAGCACCAGCGGTTTGTATAGTAGAATTGTTGATATAGACAGAATATTTGAAATCTTACAGATTTACGACTATAAAGATCTAATAATCGCCAAGCCAAATTGTAGCTCATAATGGAAATTCTAGAGCATATCTGATAGAGCGCGTTAGGTGATCCTAGGTGAAAATAAACTTAATTTAATATTGCAAAGTAAATATTTTTAGTAATCATCCTTACGCCTATATTAAGAATTACATATTTACCTAACCATTATTATAGCGTATTCGTGACAAAGAGGAATTAAAAGGGCCACAATTTTGTGAACATGAATAGGCACATTTCAATATAGACAACTTTTTGAAAAACATCATAATACTGTATTAGTTATGAAACATACAGTCGTATGTAATTCAGCAAGTTATGTACCGGTAAGCTGAGAAACTGGATCGTTGCTGAGCTAAGTAGCTTTTTTGCAAATTGATAAGATTAGAGAAATTAATTAGACATAATATGTGGAACTCCTACCTGCAAATCGTACAAAAACATACTCACTTATTAAAATGGTGTATTTTATAGTCAGTTACGTAAAAAATTACTAAATGTTTAACCAATATTCAATATGTGAAAGATGAAATACCTGATAGTAAACAATTAAGATCCATAGCCAAAGTTTCTATCTAAGTGACTGATCTATATAAAAAACCTGGAGTTACCTCCAACGCATTTTTATATTATTATCCACGTCCTACGCGGTCGATTATGAATCCATTTTTTATGGTGAAAAGTGTAGGTTAGCATTCGCTCCCGATCTCCTCTCTTGCCATATTTGTCAACTAACCCCACCATCGTTCGTTTGTTACAGATCCCAGAGTACTCTCGGTAGGTTCAGTAAGTCGACGGGTCGCTTGGTGAACAGTTCCGTGGCGGACAACAGGAGTTCGCAGACGTTGCCTAGACATCTCCACAAGCAGAGCGACTCGCCTTCCAAGTTGGGTACTCGATCTAACAGCACCATCAACATCTCCATCATCAACACGCCGAGGAAGCTGGAAGGACCTGCGAAGCCTGCTCGAACGTACAAGTCGAACTTATCCAGGAGTCAGAGTTTCAACGTCCAAGCTGGTTTGGAGACTCAGAGAAACAACATGTACACGAGCAACCCGCATCTCAACAAGTTGGAAGACTCGGGGATCGGGCTGAAGAGTCCTGGACTGATCTCGAGCCTGAATAGGAGCCACAAGGACTTGAACGGCGACGATATATACACTTCCCGTTTCGCGAGAAACGGTACCAGTGACTACGTGGACTCCAAGAGAGGGTTCTTGTCCAGTTTCAGAGAGAAGACTCCTGAGTACTGGAAGCCAAACACCTACAGTACACCTGTGAGAAATGGTAAGGGGTATAGCAATGGGAACATTTATGAGCCACCAACGAGGCTTAGAGGACAGCCTGTCGCCCAGCCAGTCCATTGTACGAAGAGGCAGCAGCTCCAGTACAGACTTTTTCTGAAACGTACCACACCACCACCAGAAATGACGATCCAGTCCGACCGAGCATCACCGATACGACCAAGAGCTTTCTAAGAAAACCATACCGTCCAAAGATGGAAAATCGGTAGAAAACCATCCAGTCTAGTGAGTTGAAATCGGTCACCAAGAGTCACTTCAGGGGAAGTACCCCGACAAGGAACTACTACGAAGAAAGAAGATATAACTCTGGAACCACCAATCCGGTTGATGATCGAAGTGAGAAATTACAGGAATAGAAACTTGCGCCAGTTTGATGTGTGTTTTTTTTTGTGTGGAATTCAATGTGTTGTCTTCGTATCCTAGTGCCATCACAATATGGTGATACAATTAGTACAGTTTGATCAACGTCAAACTGTATTTTATATTCACTTCGGCCTGGTGTTTTTCAATTATCTTTTGTTCTGCCACAAATTATTAACCGAATCGTTAGATTAGTTGTTATTCTAAACCTCTTAATTATCTTGAGAGCACTGAAAAAAAACCTCATGGGTTCTGTCAAAAATTTTCCCTAAGGCGTTCATTCTAAAGATGCATTTGTCATTTTTGCAAAAAAAAGAAGATACACTACTACTTTTGATTTTAAACAAATATAAGAACATCTGTGAGCCAATACATCAATTTTACTTGAAAGCTTTATGGGTAATCTAAATCTAGTGAGCAAATTCGTGTGTCGAAAGATATACAAAAATATGAAGGTTCAATCTAAGTTTTTTGCACATGACTGTAACTTTTGTTAGTCCTAGGTGTACATCACTGTTTGCTAGGAAAGAATCGAAGAGTTTTTTATTTTACCCAAATAATACCCATCTGTCACTTAGAGTGTAGAATGATGATCTATGTGCCTATATTTCTTATAGTACTTCTAATTTTAACGTTTTATATTTATGTGTTGCTACACAAAAATCTCTGACTAAAATTGATTATTGTATATATTAGTCCTTTTAAAAAATGCAATAACGACTTTGTCATATTTTTAATATATTCTGATAACTCGATATTTGCTTTATTTCGGTGCCTCCTAAGTCCTGATTATACACCGTATATTTCATGCTAGCAAGTAGTTGACAAAGGGCGTCAAGTAGGTTGACTCCAAGCTTTCCACGCAAGGCTGTCATCAGTTCATAAAAGATTAAGTTTGGCATACATTGGACCCTGATAAATATACTGAGTGATATTAGAAGGGTTACGCCCAGAAAAAATAATTTCTTCAATTTGATTTTTTGGCAATGAGGTAGTTTTACATCAAGAATGAAACGATAACATTCTCACAAAATTTGATTGACAAGTAATCAGAAAAAAAATGAATAACATGTTGGGCGACCCCGCAGATGAATACACTCCTATACAGGGTGTTCCTTAATGATATGCAACTCAATAGAGATCATTTGTTTTAAATTGAACGGGGGATTCAAAAATAATTTTTATTTGACAAAAACTGTTGGCACGCCAGTGTTGAAGCTAAAAATTATTTTAGCATTGAAAAATATGTAAATTTATTAACTTTCACTACGTACTAAATATGAGTGAAATATCTGAAGCGGTTCTGAAATATTAATTAATTTCCATTTTATTCCTAAAATTTCAACACCCCGAGTTTTTGTAAGGAAACATTTTTGGACCATAGTTTACGAAGCAAACATTAACATTAATTTTTCATATAGATTCACACCCTTAAATATTCGCATATCATTAAGCAACACCCTGTATACGTCTAGGCATCGACAAAATACGATGGTCGATGTCTGGTTCTTGCACTTCATTCCAAGCAGCTTCGTGGATTAGCTGCGGCAGAGTCTGTGGCGGATGGTGCAAAATGGATAGTCTCCTCCACATCGTATCCCACCGATGTTCGATGGGATTTAAATCCGGTGAACGGAATGGCCACAACAAAACATTAACGCTGCTTTCGTCCGTAATACGAAGAGCAATATGGGGTCGTACGACGTCTTGCTGAAAAAGGATGTGTGGATGGCCATGTAGATAGTTTGTAGGACATCATCAACATAACGCGCATATTGCCTTGAACAAAGAGAAGCAGATCCAATATCACGCCGTTCTCCACGGCGACATCTTACCCTTCTATCGTGCATACCTAGACAGAATCGCGATTACTCGCTGAAAATGATATCATGCCATTATGTTCCTGTTCAAAACGTTGACGACAGTGGTCCGCAGTCAGAGGAAGCACTAACCGTGGACGATATGAAATGAGTCCGAAGTTTGAATGCGGCGATAGAGTGTACGCATAGTAATAGGTCTACCTTCTTCTCCAAACCATTGGTCAGCGATCTGACGCGTAGTAGCAGAACAGTTTCGTAGTGCTAGTTACCTGAAGTGCGTATCTCATATTAACAACTAAAAATATCTGTACTACTCAGCTCATCACAAAATCTAAGGCATAACATCTTAACAAAGGTAAACAAAAACAAAGACAAAACGCTGACATTGTTGCCACAGCATGCTTTAAATATACTAAGTGACATATAAATCCGAACACCCAGTTTAAATGGTTTATTTTAATAAAAGTTGGTGAATGTATTTATCTTACTGTAAATAACAAGTGAAAAAATTTTCAGCCTCATCAGTTGGACATTCCGGTTTTTATACTGCTTTTTTTTAAATTCACTAACGCTCTAAAAATGAATATTTCAGCCGCAGTAAAGAATCAACGTTGACGGATTTTGGTTCTTGACATCCTTTACTATCGGTTACGATGTCTAGAGTACGGAGACCTGTACGATTTCGTCAACTTAGTGAGTTTGATAGGGGCCATACAGTGGGACTTCGGGAAGCTGGACTTTCTTTTCGGGCAATTGCAGTTAGAGTGCAAAAGTGTAGACATTGTGGTTAGGTGTTGTCAGGCATGGCTTCGAGAAGGCCGTACGCAAAGAGCAAGGGCACTGGACGCCGCCGTAGAACAACAGACCGTGAAGATCGCCGCCTAAGATTATTGGCCTTAAGGGAGTGTTTCTCCACTACCAGGTCCATTGCAAATGAATGGTTTGCAGAACACGGAAGACCTATTGGCAAGCGAAGTGTTTAGCGACGAATGAGACGTTTTGGCTTGTTTTCATACCGGCCACACTGGGTCCTCCCTTTAACTCGAGAACACCGACGTAATCGCCTTGAGTGGTGCAGACAACGGTCACTCTGGGATCAGGAATGGAACAGTATTGTCTTTAGTGACGAGTCTCGATTTTGTTTAGGCATGCACGATGGTCGTGCCAGGGTTAGAAGGCGACGTGGTGAAAGGAGGAATCCACAGTTTTTTGTTGAAAGACATGTTCATCACACTGTTGGAGTTATGGTTTGGGGTGCTATAGCTTATGGTTCCAGGTCACCTTTAATCTTCATCAGAGGTAATATGAACGCGCAGCGTTATATCCACGAAGTTCTAGAACCCCATCTTTTACCCTATCTTGACACCCTGGCAGATCCAACTTTCCAACAAGATAATGCCCGACCACATGTTGCAAGAGTCACAATAGACTTCTTTCAACATAATGATGTCACATTGTTACCATGGCCACCAAGATCTCCCGACTTATCCCCAATTGAGCACGTGTGGGATATGATGGGTAGGAGATTGCTCAATTTGCAACGTCTTCCTCAGACTCTAGAAGCACTTCGAGAGGAGTTGGTGGTTGCCTGGAATGAGATACCACAGGAGGACATTGACCACCTGATCAGACGCATGCCTAGGCGCGTTGGAGAATGCGTAGCACATCAGGGTGCATCCACACATTATTAAAGGTCAAAGGGCTTTAAAGTAATGCAATCATTTTGAAATTTTTATCATTTACTTATTATGCTTCATTAAGTACTTATACAAAATTTTATTAAAATAAAACCATTTAAACTGGGTGTTCGGATTTATATGTCACTTAGTATAGTCATTATGTGCGAAAAAAACAAGTTGAAGAAATTATTGTAATAATTCTAATGTCACTGAGTACAATAAGGCAGTCAAATAGTCCGATAAAGTTAGTCTCCAGTCCTCACGTTCTGTCGCCTTCCCTGAGCGTCTGGCTGTCTCCTAAAATTTGAGCAGTTAGCATAGCTTTTTGTGTAACATATTGAACAGTTTAATGATTTACTGAAAGAAACATAAGAAAAGGAACTGAGATCACGCCACTTAACTTACTCGAAAGTGATCGACGCCGTTTTTAAAGATTAGATTGCTCTGACCATCCATCGCCAAGTAATATTATTGAAAGTTCTATTAATTCTCGATAGTCGTCTCTAGAAACTTCGTTGGTCAATTCATGTCGATAAAATTATAGCAGCTTGTCCGTCTCTGAAATATTCAAGCATGATAGCTTACCGGTATAAGTCAATTTTTTCTCGGGATTGACAAAAATTAGCATTTCTTAAGTAAGTTTCTGTTCTATAAGCACGCAGGCACCGTTAATCCGACCCGTATTTGAAGCAGTAGTATCACAACAGACAATCTGAACTTTATCTTCAAGATTCCAGTCAATAATAGCATCCCAAATTGCCTGAGCCTGCTCGCTGCCTGAAGAGTTATCCAATTCTGGCACAGCGATAAGTGCCTCTTTATTTTCACACGTTATAATGATCGGTAGATGTTCTGCTTTAGATTTACGTGCATTTAAAGGTGGCAACAATTTGCCATCAAAGTGGACAGTTACAGTATCCGGTCCCTCGGTTTGGAAATCAAACTTTATAGCTTCTGCGTGCTCCTTTCGCACAATCGTTGCTTCAATAATAAAAACATCATTTCTCATGCTTAAATGATACGTATCTAAAGGCTGCTACACACAGTGCCGCCGGGCAAGCCGCCGGCTAAGCCTCCGTACACCCGGCGGCATACAAAACCGCCGGCCTTGCCGCGCAGAGGAGCCGCCGGCATTGCCGCCGGGGTGTGCCGGCGGGTTACGCGGCTTGCCGGCGTCACTTCGTTCCTGGCATTCGAGCGGTAGTGTTGTGCGATTTGTGTGTTTAAACAAATTAAAATGTCGTTTAATTGGGACGACGAAACTGTGCTGCTCTTAATTGAAAAATTTCATGAAAATGATATATTATGGAATCCCAGAAATGCAGACTATAAGAATAGGAACAATCGACGCACTGAACATAATTGCAAGTGTATTTGACATTGATAAAGGCGAAGTAGAGAGAAAGTTAAAAAATTTAATCTCTCATTATTTTCGGGAAAAAAAGAAGTTCGAACAGTTGCACAAATCTGGTGCAGGCATAGACGATGTACAGAAACCCAAAAAACATGCTATAGCGCAAACGCTGACACCCCACATCATCTTTTTATACTCTTCTATCATTACAGTACCGTTTCGCCATTTTCTATTTTGTAAACTTGGGTGCAACCAAAACCTTCTCGTCCTTTTGTATTTTTTCTTATTAAAATAAAAATTACAACTGCGGCGGCTGTGCTGATGATTTCCTTATTCATTTTAACCAACCAACCATAAAATATGTATACTTTATCTGAAGTCACTTGAAATAGCATAAAAACCTTTGGTCGGCGCGTCCTTTGTAATTTCATGACGTATCATAGGCGTGCGGTCATTTATTGAGAACGATAATAATAATGTTTGTATATCACAATAAATGGATTTTACTATCTTCTTATTTTTTTGATTTGGGATAAAAAATACTTATATTGGGAGTTTAATTTATGTTGACTGAAAGTTAAGAAATGGAAAAATTACAGAATTCCAACGTTTGACATAGGCAAATATTTACATAGCAGGTAGGTATATAAAAAGGTATATAAAGACTTACATTATAGGTATTTATATATCATCCTCGCCTTCGGAGCTGTCGCTAGAGTCATCTTGTAGAGGAATTACAACGGGATTTACAGGAGGCAAAACATAATATTCATTTTCTTTTTCAATAATATGCCTAGAACACTGCTTCCATAGGTCTGTGGCAGCAATATGAGATACTGCATCTCTTATTGTGGCCAATAGCGATTCACTTAATTGAGGGGTCTGATTATGTTTTCTTAC